CCCCAAAACCCCAAAACCCCAAAACCCCTTGTGATGCAATCAATAAGATTTTTGAGATACCTAAAATTAAGAAATGTGCAAAATCAGATAAATTTGTTATCTGCATTGAATTCTTTTATAAGCTGTGAATATCTCCTTTCTGAGTATAATTAATTAATTTAAAATAAACAAACCATGAGCCTTAACACTCACTCAAATATTTCTAACTAATTATCTAAAGAATAGACACGCATAAATCAGCAAAAAAAGCATTTGTTTTTGCACTCAATTGAAGAATTTTAGATGTCAAGAATGTTATAAAAAAGTTAACAGGCAATAATAGCAAAAGGAATTTTACCTAATACTTAGTAAGAGACGATTTTGAAGAGATATCAGTTGAATACATAGAGAGAAGCGTTTATAAAAGAATTGAAGCTTTTATCAAAGTTGAGTAAAAATGTTTTCTAGACAGTTGAATCAATTCCAGAACTCATTTCATACAAAACTGATAAAATATTTGCAGAGATTTTGATGGCTGATGCAGGAATAGATTTGACTCAATTGCTCTGCGGCGAAAATAATTAGTAGAGTTTCAATAAGTACCAAATAGGTCTTCAGGTGGGATTTTAAGTACTTTGCGCTCTTGAATAAATTCACTAGAATGGATATATTCACTGCGATATAAAGCTGGATAACATCTGCAGTAAATCCAATACATAGAATGAAAATACCAACATTCCCTGCACATAAAACAGTCTAACTTACACATTAATAGACTTTGGTCTTGCCTCTAAATTTACTTCTAAGGGAAAACATCTTATTCAAGAAAGTATAGATTTCTTCAAAGGCAATATCCTGTTCGCTTCTGAAAACGCTATCAAGTTAAAGAGTTAATCTAGAAAAGATGACCTTGAGTCACTTATGTATTTAGTTACATTCATTATTAATGAGCTTTCTCTGCCATGGATAGAAAATATTGACGACGGTTCTTAGATAGCTGACATTTTTTAATTCATATTAAAAAGGAGAATTAGAAATTTTAACAAATTTAATGAAAAGATTATGAAGATGTTGCCAAATTAACTGAAACAAGCATTTAAGTACATTAGAAATCTGGAGTTTTAGGACACTCCTGATTACTAATACTTAAAATCCTTATTTTAGTCATTAATTTAACCTCAAACAGAAGAAGCATGCCACCATAACTGGGAATATTAATATTTGGAAACATTCGGGCAAAATAACTTAACATGTAACTAGAAATATTAAGAAGTCGCATAATCGTCACTTATTAAAGTGATCACAATGAACGAAGTACAAAAAGCATCAATTCTTATTTAATTAGAAAATAATGACGAGTCAGAAATTTAAAATATTCTGAAGGAGTAGCTTTTTGAGATCGAAGATAGTGACCTGCTTGATAATTAGAATATATTAGCAGATAGAAGTCACTATCAAGGAACATTTCAAGAGTAAGAACGAATCCTTAGTCTTTAGTTTAAGCAGAATTTTACTCTTGAATCTAAGAAGTACAGTTCTATACAATTATTGCAAAGAAATTTTGAATAATAATCTACCAACTCAAAAATTATAATAGAATCCTTTTTGAGAGAAGATAAAAGTTTTAACTCTAATAAACTCGATAATCAAGAAATAGATGAGGAACTTGAAGAAGACCTCAATTGTAGTGCAGATACTGATGAGAATTCAATTAATAGTGGATCATAATCTCTATTCGTTTAGGACTTTACCAATTTGATCAATAGAAATGATCTCAAGTGTAAATTATGAGGACAAGTTTAGTACTGTCCTTTGCTAATCTAATAGTAGAAAACTTTCAATTTATTTGGCAATTATTTAAAATAAAAAGTATTCATTGGCAATATAATTTTCATTTGCAATTTTTAAATATTATACAATTCTAAACCACATGGGGTTTTGGGGTTTTGGGGTTTTGGGGTTTTGGGG